CACACTTCCAGTCATCTGAGCCGAGCGCCTTCATCAGGGCCACAGACAGGGGCGAAGGGCATCGTGAGCACTTCGCAACAGCCATCAAGGTACACGAAAATGAAATCGGCCTTATGGACACCGTGTCGCGCGCCATTGCCGCTTTGTGTCGATCAGAGTTGTTTTGCATTCGATCCGGCCGATCGCCCGACAGCGAAAGAGGTATTCGACATACGATTGGGATAAGCGTCCGCCATGTCAGTTTGCCGCATCTGACTCACCCGCAGGTGCTCGCGAAGCTCGGCATTTCATCGAGTCAGTCAACAGTAAAAAGGACAGCCCATTGCCGTGGCGAGTCTTTGAATGCATGCAGGTGCGGCGCCGGCCGTCCCCCCTGCCCCCGTGAGTCCCGCTGACGTGTCGCCCATCAGCCCCACATCGGGTGTGCACACCAGCATGGCCAGCACCACAACGGGGCTGCCCAGCACGGTCTCTCCGGCACAGATCAAGCCTGTGGTCCCGTCAAAGCAAACAGGTCGGTATATGAGGCAGTGGCAGAGAGATTCCACTTGATCTGCGTGTATTGTAGCGTCCCCTGGTCAGCCTAACGCACCAGCCAAGTCACCTCCAAATGCACCACAGCCACAGCGACAAACCAAATCCGTGAGAGAGCCGTTGCCAGACAACGGATTCCTATCAATGGCAAACATTTCTCTTTCGCTGTTGCATGTCAGGCGGACACCGTCCTGACGACGAAGAAGATCAAACGGGTAGTACCGAAAGAACACTGATCGTTCACGCCTCACACAGTCGCTTGTATGTGATGTATACTGTGTGTTGAAGAGGAACATTTATTCTGCGGTGAGAGCTGGTGACGTCACGTCTGTTGCTCAGCTAATCAAGCTGCGCGGACCGAGCATCCTCGACAACGAAGAAGTCACGTGCTTCTGCTGCATAGTGACGCACTTCCGACTTGCACGCGCAGCAGAGACACTCAACTTGTATTTTTTCTGCTGCAGGGTGGCACTCCCTTCACCGAGGCTGCAAAAAGGGGTCACGTGGGCATCATGTCGGTAATGTGTGAGAGCAATCCTGACGTACTGCAGCAATTGACCAAGGTACCGACACAGACAAGGCAGCCTATTTGCTGCTGCTGAAGAACTGTATGTCGGATGTGATGGAATGCAACTTGGTGGTTTGAATGCCCTGCACTTGGCTGCCCTCCAGGACCGTGTTGCGGCTGTCAATCAGCTGCTGGAGTGGAACCCCAAATCGCTCGATGCACGCAACGAGGTAATAGAGTACACACACGCGCGTACGTGTGTGTGTGTGTGTGTGTGTGTGTTGATCGCAGCGGGGCTTCACGCCATTCATCAAGGCTGCCTACGATGGTAATGTCGATGTGATGACGGTTCTGCATGCCAAAGGAGGGGAAAAGCTTCTCACTCAGACGGACAATGTGAGACCTCGTGCGGGCGAAACAGAAACAAAGTGCCTCTCATCTGATTGATTGCCTTTCTCTGTTTGCATTTTGCATGACACACACAGGACGAAGACACGGCACTCCACTGGGCTGCATATTATGGCAGATCTGCAGCTGTGTCTCAGCTGTGAGCGACACAGATGACTGACTTACGCGAGTGTCTCATCCACACTGTCTCTCTGTCTGTCTGTGTGTCATTCTCAAAGGCTTGAGTGGGGCGGCAGTGCTCTGCTCGATATCAGAGACAAAATTGTGAGTGCACACAGACATTCACACCATCGATGGGCCGAGTCATGTGCTCATCTCATCTCATGACGACAGGACGACACGCCATTCTTCATGGCTGCCAAGGGGGGTAATGTCGATGTGCTGAAGGCCATGTATGCCAAAGGAGAAGAAAAGCTTCTCACCCAGAAGGACTATGTGAGACCTCACACGCGAAACAACACACAATGCCTCTCGGTTGTGTGATTGCCTTTCTTTTGTTTGCATGACACACACAGGGCGGATACACGGCACTCCACTGGGCTGCGAAGTACTGTCAATCTGCGGCTGTGTCTCAGCTGTGAGCGACACAGACGAATGACTGACGCGAGTGTCTCACACTCTCTCTCTTTGACTGTGTGTTATTCTCAAAGGCTCGAGTGGGGCGGCGGTGCTCTGCTCAACATCAAAACCACCAGGGTGAGTGCACACAGACATTCACACCATCGACGATGAGCCGAGTCATGTGCTCATCTCATCTCATGACTACAGTACGAGGGCGAGAGGACGCCGTGGGACATGCCGCCGGACCGGAAACCGAAGAAAAGAGACGAGATCAGAGAGATCATGAAGAAGTACAAGTGATAGTCACTCTGTGGTGATGGCTGTGGTCTTATTTCTTCGTGTGTGGAGTGCGTAAAGCCCTTGTGTCTCTCGTGCGTGTGTGTGCAAGTGCTCTCTGATAGTCTGTGTGCGACTGGATGGTCGACTTGCTGAGTGCTCTCTGATGTGCTCATCGGTCAATTGAGCTCCGACGGGGCGGACAGAGGCGCGGGATCCTTTGACACAAAAAAGGCCTCGCCTTCTTCGGCACGGATCTCACCCCCTGGCAGCGCCTACCTCTCTGCGTGTTGAGTGAGTGAGGGGGGCGTCTGGTGCACTCTCTCCTTTGGTCGGGTGTGGTGTACTGCTGGTGGTCGTCCGTCTGTCTGTCTGTCTCTATCGAGTGGATGTGTCGAATCAACAGCTGTGGGCACACAGTTAGTTAGAGGTGCGCATGTTGCTCAACGCATGGACGTCCAACAAAGACAGACAGACAGAGAAAAGCCACGGACGAAGGCACTCATCCATCCAGCCACCCATTCAGTCATTCACGCATTAAAACTCACAGGCAGACACACACAGACACACACAGAGAAGACAAGACGAACCGAAACAAAACACCCGTTTTGTACGTCTGCCTTGCTCACGCACCAATCAATCAGTCGACTGTCCTTTTCTCGTCGGACTGGAGGAAGGGACCATCACTCACACCCACAGACAGCATCCACACACCACACACGCTGGCTGCCGGTGTGTGTCATTATCCGGCTGCGTGTGTGCCGCCGAAAGTCTGCTGCTGGGGGTGCAGTGGGGAGGCCTCGGGCGATGGGTGGGGGGACGGCAGGTGGGGAGCCGCCGGGTGCAGTGTCTGCTGTGCGGTGGGGGAGGGTGTGTGGCCAGCTGCTGTGGCTCCCTGGTGGTGCTGTTTGGCGCTTTGGACGGCGATGAGGTCAGAAAAAGGCACCCGCCCCATTCCGCCCACACACGCACACAAACAGACAGCAGCGTCCCACCGCCGAGCAAAACGGGTCTGCTCGACGCTTCGCTTCATTAGCTGGCACACACCCATGTCTGTCTGTCTGTCTGCCTGTCTGCTGTGTCACGATCGCTTCAATTTAGC